ATCCCAATAATAATCACGACAAATATTAAAGAATATTCTCTAATGCAGCATAATAATGAAAATTACATTAAACGGACCAATTTGGAGTAGAATTTCTTGGAATTTTAAGACATGATGTAAAGAAAACAGAGAACAAGAATATAGGCTTAAACCAGTTACTAAAAATACCAGACTACTAAGAACCATATAAATCTAAAAGATACAGCAAAATGGGGAGTTTCTAGAGTAAAGGAATAAACATTATAAGCAATATAATTTAATTCAACTATATGCCAACTACCCTAGAATATGTAAAGAATGTGACACAAGAACCAATGCCTCTCCACTGCCTCCAAAGAGCTTATATTTTTATTGCAGGGGTAAATCTTATATGACAAATAAAGACTTAGCATATCAAGAAAACAGAAAAGGTAGAAACTCAGATGTATGGTACAGAAAATATATGCTCATGAGGAAGAGAGGTAATGTATACTGAATTTCTCTGTCACTTAGAGGTAAAAACATGTGGAAGTGAAATTGACAGGAATGCAGGGAGAGGGAAATATTCTAGGAAGTTCCTAGAAAAGTCTTCTATTTTATGATAAATTTAAATGTAAAATAGGGAGAGAAATTGAAGAGATTGTGAGGGAAATGGGCAGGGGAATTACCTAGAAACACTTAAGACTGGTGAGCAGTGTTCATATAATATAAATTTGTATGGCATCAATTCATCTGGTGACATAATTTATGTCTGGTAGTGCTTCCCAGGCTATGTATAAGAATGGAGTGAATAGTTGGATTAACCAGTAAACTGAAACTTGGGGGAACAGATGGTGCAGCAAAACAAGAGAAAAAATAATCAAGAATGTTAGGGAATAGATATGATCAATGAAGTGGCCTAGAAAGGATATGCTCAGAACCAGAGTCAGGAGACACTGAGACTGCGAGAGAAAATAAGGTCAAGAGATTGGAGGTCTCAGTCTTACCAAAGAAAGGCATTCTGAAAAGTAGGGAGTATAGAAGCTGGAAAGAAAGCCTGCTGTGTTCAAACAGCTGTGTATTTTAAGATGTTATTGGTATAAACGTTCTGGGTGATAATCAGAATGAGGTAAGATCTAGGTGGCTGTATTGCAGAGGAGGTAAAGATCAACAAAGTTAGGGAGGTCAAGATTTATGAGGCTAGACTATTGATGGGATCAAAATAAAGAACATGAACTGGACTAAGGAAGGGAATGATTACTAGGGCAAAGCTTGGCAGTCACACCTAGCAGTCAAGTATGGAACAGTAGTGATGGGAAGGGTCTTACATAGGCTAATGGCTAAGGCTAGAGTTAGTATTCAGCATACTAAAAAGGTTGCAGTGTATTATCTATATAGCTTTAGTTTAAAGCATATAATTAAAAACTATCCCTATGCTTGGTAGTTTTGTAATTCTCAAAATATTCATGTGAAGCAAATGTCATAGAAGTTAATTGTCTAATACAAATTCCACAGAGAGGTCACTTAAATTATTAAGCATTTCTTTACCATTAAAATGATTCAAAGTCACTTTTAATGTGAAAATTCAATTTGACCGGAGGAGAACCAAGATGGTGGCGTGAGTAGAGCAATGGAAATTTATTCCCAAAACTATATATATTTTTGAAAATACAACAAATACAACTATTCCTAAAAGAGAGACTGGAAGACACAGGACAACAGTCAGACTACATCCACACCCGCGAGAACCCAGCGCCTGGTGAAGGGGGTAAGATACAAGCCAAGGCCAGGTGGGACCCGAGCGCCCCTCACCCCAGCTCCCAGCAGGAGGAGAGGAGTCGGAGTGGGGAGGGAGAGGGAGCCCAGGACTGCTAAACACCCAGCCCTAGCCATCCACACCAGAGCGCAGACACAGTGCATGCATGGGGTGCTAGAAACTAGGGAAACAGGACAGTAAGACCTGTGGGCAGGTCCGCACAGCTGGCACCCCGGGGACAAAGAAAAGCAAGTGCTTTTTGAAAATCTTAAAGGGACAGGGACCCCACAGCTGGACAGAAGCATCCTGGGACACACTTAGCCCAGCAGCTGGGAATCCCAGGGAACTCTGGACACTCTAACCCCCTGGGCAGCAGGGCAGCTCAGAGACCCTCACGGAGATAAACAGCCTCCCGCCTGTTTCCCCTCTGCTGCAGCTCCGCCATATCGGAGAAGCAGCCTGAGGCTGGCCATGCCCACAGCAACTGTGGAGCTCCACAGCGGCCGGGCAAGACTTAGAAACCCCACCTGCACACAGCTACCCAGCACAAGCCGCTAGGGGTCGCTGTTCTCCCAGGAGAGGAAGGCCACAAACCAGCAAGAAGGGACTTTCTCTTAGCCAACACATGCACCAGCTCCCCACAAATACCTCTATCACCATGATGAAAAGGCAGAAGAATCTGATACAGACCAAGATCACAGAGGCAAACCCTGAGAAGGAGATAGACCTAACCAATCTCACCAAAAAAGAATTAAAAATAAAGCTCATAACCATGCTAATGGAGCTACAGAGAAATATGCAAGAGCTAAGGGATGATGTCTGGAAGGATATTATCGAAATGAAACAATCTCTGGAAGGATTTATAAGCAGAATGGATAAGATGCAAGAGGCCATTGATAGAATAGAAACCAGAGAACAGGAACGCATAGAAGCTGACACAGAGAGAGATAAAATGATCTCCAGGAATG